CATATTTTCTAGGCCAATGTGGCTGGAAATGTTCAATTTGAAGGAAGGGGGAGAAGTTTTGTTTTCTTGGACACACCACATGTCAAAATAGAAGTAGTACAGTTCCTAAAGAAGTCGGCATCTTAACGGGAGGTTGTATTGAATTGCATGAAGTAGGCCGCCGTTGGCTTATACTTGTACACCTAAAATAGATAGGAAAGTCTAGAAGCTAGAATAACGATTAACAAACCATTCAAAATTCAAATTCACTTATATTCTTTGAATTGGTAGCTGGTTGAGTGAGAAGCATTGACGTGTCAGAATTAATTAAGTCCTCTGTTCTAAGCAAAGCAAAATAGGGTCATTCGAACATTGCTACGACTTTACCTGCTGCTTTGAAAGGATTTTGTTCAGAATAGACTATTTTTGGGTCCGGGATAATTCACAATTTGGAGATAATATAACATACGAATAAAGATAATGATATGAGCAAGAACATTCCGCAAAATAAATGCTCACCTCCTCATTTAGATATTTTTGAAAGGCTCTCTGATCCTTTGCAAGGAGCATATTCTCCTGAGCTATCTGCTCTCGATAGCCACGCGCCTGCCGTTCCAGGTTTCGCTCAAGGAGGAGGCTAACTTTGCTCGCCTTTACACGTTCACTGTCAAATTGGCTGTTCAATTGTTTCTCCTCTGCTTCTCTACACTGTTCCAAAATTAAAGCCCCCAGTTAAACGATACACAACAAGCTTAACTGAAAAAATATGCGGTGAAATTGCAAAAGTCCAAATTCAAAGATTTGCAATAGCGTAAACTGCTCTCGCAAACGCTACTGAAACGCAGAGGTTTACATATTAACCCACATCAGTCTTAATTTAGAAAAAATATTTGAAATTTCGATACCTAGCGGGATCCAAATCTAACTTGATGCAAGCGGTGAGTTTGATGTGTCAGGACCAAGGGTCTCTCTTCTCAATAGTTAAAAGTCAAATCCGTAATTCTTATTGCATACTCCTAACAGATTAAAGACTGATCCCTCGGCTGGTTCATTTGTCAAGTAAAATATATTTCTGAACATATTTTTCTTGAATGAACCACCACATTAAGACATTTTCGACGTTCGTCTGAAAGCGGTAGACGAATAGAAAGGATTCAGTGAAAAGCCGAGAGAAACACACCACTTTTTCGCGGATTTGTTGGCACTGTTTTTGACGAATTTCGGCAAGCTGTTCGGGTGAAAAGCCCTTGTAGCGGTCGGGGCAGATACGATGCGGTCCGAAGGCAGAAATGGCCTGAGCGGGGTTCTCAGTGAGGAGATCGGAATTGATGCAGTTGAGAATCTCTCGGGCATTCGCCTCCTCCTCGCACCGTCGCTGGGCGCGATCCGCATCCGCGCGCTCCGCCGCCAGCGCTTCGTTGTAGCGCCGCACCGCACACTGCACTGCACGACGGCACGCCGCCTCCGCCCGTGCCATCGCCTGCACTCGTCCATCCATCTCCCGTCCGTACAGCGCCTGCAGACTTCATGTTGAAGCACAGTCGTATTTACGATGAAGCTCATAGTCGGATATAAATACCTACATAGCATAGTTTGCAAATGCCTATGGGTCGGCGGGTAGAAGGGCTGTGAATATAACAGTGGTGAGTAGACTTAAGCAATATAAAAAATTAGAGTTATTCTGTTTGATCAATAAAGGGAAGCATTTTGCTATGCATAAAACTATTTTTTTACAGGATTCTCATCGATGTCAAATGCGCATTTATGGCTATCGAAAAAATGGACAAATGTAACTATTTATAATTGTTTTTGGTCTAATCTATATTAAGTAGGCTGCAAATTTGCTCCAGCGTCCAAAACACAATCCTTCTGAATTGTAATTTGACCGATAGGAATTACAGATATTTCAAGTGATCCGGTTGTTTACTTAAAAGGAAACACAAAAGGCACGTTGAAAATCGGGATAGACATTTTTTGGTCATCACCGAACACCAGTTTTGGTTGATGGTCTACTATATTTGCCACCTTGAGAAAGACCAATCTAAATTTATTTATGGCCGGCTGGCCTAACCATTTGGGGCAATCTTTTCAACAACTAAAGAGGCAGATTCTCAGCATAGTTATCAAAAAGTACTTGCAAAATTGACCATCCAAGGTGCCTGTACTGAGTGTCAATGCCCTTTGCCGTTTCTTAAAAATGAATATAGAATTGCATCATTGTATTGTTTAAATGAGGCTTAGTTTTGCAGTAGTAAAATTCAAAATGAGCCAAAGAAGGCGAACCATACTGTTCATCATGCTTTCTAGCACATTCAGCCCTATTCCGTTCCTCGATTTGCCGATCAAACCAAATCTGCATTTGTTCCTGTTGGAACTTCTCCCTCGATTTTTTCGTAAGATCCTCGCCAACAAACTTCTGTATAGATGAGACTCCGCATCTAGGGTCATCATCCGAGATGCGAGCCGGCCTATCCTTTTTCTTTGCATCTGGGTCATTGAGGTCAAATTCACGACGAGAGCTCGACTGTTGATGTAATAATCGAAATTCATTAAGGGCTCGATTCAATTCCCTCTGGTCTTTGTGCTGACGCTTCTCCAAGAGGACTGCAATTTTGTCATTGCGTTCAACATCTTTACCTGATCAATCATGCAAACCAGTGACAATAACGCGGGGTAGTTCAAAATCTGTTAGGTTCTGCTTATTACCCTACAACAATTCATTATTGAGGACATTTACCCAGATTCACACGAATGCACATCCAATTCAAAACAAATTCCCCAAACTTTAAAATACGCTCTTGAAACAGTTAAAACATACAATTACGAGTAAATTTTGACGGGGTAAATAGGAGAATGTTGTCATTATGATTACTGACATACCGTAAGCTATGTCTCTGCAGCGTTCATGCTCTTCACGCTCTCTCTTATCCTTCACCTGTCGTGCTAGGGCACACTCATCAACCTAGGAAAAAAATCGAGCTTGCCTTTTAAGTAAAAGGCAAAAACCATGTCAACTGATTTTTAACTAAATTAAATAAGTTGTCAAAATGATCCTGCTCAAATTGACTACTTTAAGCAAAAAGGGGAATGCACACAGGTTACCCTGCATGGAAGAGTATAATACCGCATAGGAAAAATGTGGCACAATCTGCGTTTCTGTTTAATTAGGCTAGCGATGGCATGAGTTAATTCAATAAAATAGGCATGAATTTTGATATGTAGCACAGGAAGAAGCAACTTTAAAGAACCTGAATACTAAACAATCCAAAAAAGCATTCTGCCCTATTACATTTTAAAAAATATTTTAGATTCCAAGTATCTATTCGCCCGGAGCAACTAAAAGATGCATAAAAACCATTTTTCTAAAAAGGAAACTTGCAGTTAGAACTTGTTTAAGGACACATTACGAGACAAACACTTTACGGTTTGTGAGTATAGACATTGGATTCAAACGATAAAGCATAGTTATAATGACTCAATTTATAGAATGGATATGAAATGGCCTAAACTGTTGGCAAATACAAGAAAAATTAAGTCAAATGCAATCCGAATTGAACCACCACACCCAAAGTTTACCTGTGACAAATTAGTTCATAATAAGGGCTAATAAATATATATTATAGCAAAATTGCAAGATCCAGTGGGACTCAGAGGGGTATATAGAAAAAAGGGCGGTGTGAAATAGAACACTCAGGCCAACCCCTATGAGTCGAATCCGTTCATTGAAAATCCTAGCTTTTCTTTGTTCTTCAAAAACCCGACGCCTTTCGATTGCTGCTGCTTCCTTTCTGTCGATCGGCAGATTTATACTGCTCATTACTACAATCACTAGTCCGCCGAGTCCATTTTACATGACAATTTTCGAGGCTGCTTAAATAAAACAAATAAATAAGCCAATGCTGAAACATAACACCTACATTCGTTCCAGTACTAAAAAATAGGTTGTTTAGTATTGTGATAACCTATGAAATTTCACTTATAGGTCCTTATGCGATTCGATCAAAATACCAATAAAATCGTTGATACTTCAGTTGAGAGTAACTTTAAAAAAGTCAAAAGTGTGTAATGGATGGTGGCTAAACAAACAACATTGAAAATTGGTGCCAGTATTTTCTGCAGTTTGACACAGAATTGGTGCGTCTATTTTTTATTTGTGGTTAAGTTAGACATTATCTAATGTGATGAAGACGAAGAGTACAAATATATGCCAATATATATGCCTAGTAAGTATTGCCGACTATTTTTGTTATAAATGCCTTATATTTTCCCCGATAATGCGAGAGTCACGGTTGGTTTATTTGGTAAAGTTGACCCGTTAGATCGAAGGTTTTTCAGGATATACTAGAGTTTCCGTTGATTGATTTGAATCAGTTACGGAAAGCGTGTTTTTTAGGCTGTCCAGAAAGCTATACTATTAGGTCTGTGGTTTGGAAATTGCTTCTAAACTATCTTCCTCTCCAAAAGTCGCTGTGGGATTGCACGCTGTCGAAAGCGCGGACGGAGTATGAGGGCTTTCTTATGGAATTTGTGGCTAACAAGTCGAGGTTGGACAAGTCTGCCGATCATGTAATCTCCTTTTACCTCCAATTCTTTCTTAGCCTTTGAGTAGTGATCCCTGCAGTAACTGGCGTGAATACTTTGATGACAACAGAATTCTGCTGCAGATAAATAAGGACTGCCGTCGGCTATACCCAGAACTTGATTTTTTTCGGCGCCCAACTCAGTATCCGTGTAACGAGGCTTTTTCCGTAAATGTCAGCGTTTCTGACTTGCGCAATCGCATTGAAACTGAACTAACCCGTGTAAGCATCCTGGGTGATTAAATTGTTTACTGACGTCCATATTTTCTTTGTGACTGGAGTTGTGTGGGGCTTTCTTTTGCGTCATATAGAGTTGGTATGTTTGATTCATGTCCCTAGTCTTCTATAAAGTTGGTAAACTAGGTGATGGATTCCATATTTGATTATGCCTTACAAGAAGGAGTTCTTTGTCTTATTGGATCCCATTTTAGTCACATGATGTTGCAGCGAATACTATTGGTGCCCTGAAGCTGGTGACCAGTTGCGATAGCATCCGGGGTTCAAACTCCTTGTTGCGGGCGGCGTGCGACGAGTCTTTCGTAAAAGACGGGTCTACTGACGATGCGCAAAGTAATGAACTATCTGGTCGTCTGGAGATGCACTGGGAGGTGGTGCAACGCATCATATTCATTTTCTACAAAATTAACAAAGGTTCTTCCTATGTTCAGGGCATGAATGAAGTGGCTGGCCCTATCTACCACGTTTTTGCCAACCATCCCGATCCTGAGGAACGCCGTAAGTCTTCCAAGCTTTACACATCGGTGTGGATACCACTATTTTTTTTTGGGGTTGACACCATTTGTTATTTTGATGAAGAATGCCACTGCTCATTATTGATTCAAATATCTGTGTACATGGTCTCTTCCACAATTTTGGGCCCTTTTTCCGTATTCACTTCCATGTTATTAATTGCATTACTGTCTAATATACTGTTATGTTAAGATACATTCATAAATATTACTGTTTTAAAAGCTGCCAAGTAAACGTGCTGTTATTTGCTATAACAATAATTCACTGGATCAGCACTGGCTTTCTCTTGAAATGTGATCTGAGTATCGTGGTTATTGTGTATTTCTAAAAATCAAGATGATTTCTAAATTTTCAAGGCTTTGCCGAAGCGGATACATTTTTCTGCTTCAACAACCTGATGGCAGAAATTCAGAGTGTCTTCAATCGCAACTTTGATCAAGATATCGGGATCGGTGAGTTGTGCATTTTACTTGTGTCGTTCCCTCGGGTGCACGCTAGAGAAAAGTCATGGCAGTTTTGTGTTTTTTTTGTGGTTTCTCTGAAGTTTATTTTCGTGAAGATTTAACGAATCTTTTTTTATATCTCACCGATCTATTACAACGCGTAGTTTAGGTAGCAAGATGGAGCAGATGATGCATCTGCTAGAAGTTTTCGATCCTGAGCTCCTTCATCATCTCGATCGCCTCCATTTAGAACCTGCACATTTTGCTTTGCGTTGGATCACCCTCTTGCTCGCTCGCGAGTTTCTCCTTCCAGGTGATCACCCTTTTTTGATCTTTAGATGCCTCTGTTGATCATATCAGTCTCACTTAAAGCAATATAGCGCATAATATTTGAGTAACGCAGTGAGGGGTTTCTCGCACTTGGTAATGTGAGCCTTCTCCGATTTGATCTTTTTATTCCTTTAAGATGTTCTCCGACTTTGGGACTGCATTCTCGCTGACGAGCACCGATTCGATCTGGTCCTGTACATATGCTGTTCAATGCTCATGTAATGTTGCACGGTTTGTTGAGACTGCTTTTTTATTGACCCATCCCTTTTGGTCATGTAAATCACCCGTAAACAGCACCTGCCTTTTCGGCCATATAAATCCAATTAATGTGCAACATACACAGAGTGTACCGTTCGTATCCATTTCACTTTCAAAGGTTCTGCTTCTTTTCTACAGGTTAGTTAGAAGCAAATTGTTGGATTGTGATTTCCCTCGAGCCGTTCACCTCCTTCAGGTGGGCCATTCTTGTTAATTTAGGCGAAATATTCAGCAACCTTCATTATAGAGCATGTGATTACTGTACTAATGCATTTGGGACCCATTTACAACCCACTGATGTTTTTTATCACCCACAATTTATGTGCATTTTTTAGGCTTTTAGCATAACCACTTTTTTGCCGAGACCGAATTTTGTTTGGATGGTTTTTAATCATTAGAGTAATTAAAATACTTATTACTTCTCTCGTTAATAGCGCGCCGAAAGCACGAGGGTAATCCTTTTTCTTTATATTCATCCCACTTCTACTCTACCACAGGTCAGGAAAGGTAACAACTCTTCCTTTTCTGATTTGCAGAATTATCCGTACACCGACGTAGGATGCATAATTTCTCACGCGTTGGATTTGTATAATAATCATTGCGGGATTTGAAACCGTATTCATCAATCAATTCTGACTTATTCAATTGCATTTCTATCATATGTGATTCCCCTTCTTTTCTATAGCTTGATCAAATATAAGGTCCTCTTTCAAGCATGCGATCAGTTTCGTTTGTAGAAGTTTTGGTCATTATGGCGTTTTAGCATAAACAGTGCAGTTCGTGTCTGAATGATAGGACTGACAGGTTGGATTTTCTGCTCTCAGTTACATCAAAACCCTTTACTTGACGAACTTTGCATGGAAACCATTGAGCTTTTATCAAAGGGCGTCCCATAGCAAATAATAGGATAAATAATTACAGCAGGCCGTCCTCTCGTCGTTCTCATCGGAGGCAGCCGACTTGTCACTGGACCCTTTGCTCTGGACTGACTGTGTTCGAGCGGTGCCCCTGTACTGGATTTTTTAATCCCCAAGTGCTAATTTTCAGGGACATCTGTTTAACTTTTTTTTGGGTAAAGATTGTTGTCTCCATTTGGTAATGACTTGAATTGGCATATTTAGCTGGTTGCTCACTTTACCGGTGACACTTGCTTGGACGACAAAAGTAGTAATTGGGGCCAGCGTCAATGGGCATGCTTATAGGAAGCCGACACAGAGGAAGCAATACTACTGTGCTAGCAGGCGTTTCTTTAAAGCACAGTGAGATTGATCACAAAATATGTGGCAGATTAGGAAGGAGGGCGTCTTGTTGGTGGCGGTAGTGATTGGCTGTTGGTGTTACAGCGCGCTCAGGACGATGATGCGGTGAGGGTGGGAGTGGATAAATGGTGGTTGTCTACGGGGTCGCTAGTTTCCTGAGTGGCAAATTCCTTCGCTCTGTTGGCCCGGCTCCTCGGTTCTGGTGGACGGAAGAGGGGGTAGCAGAGGCGACAAATCCTTCGATGACGACGTCGGAGCCGGCGTGGATTGGCGATGGGACATTAGCTGGGTTCGATTGTACGTGTGTGACCCTGATGTGGAGCGTGATGATTGACTGAAATAAATGCAATGGAGTGATGAGTCATTGGCATGTTGTTTTCGAGCACCGCGGCCTAGATGCATTAACAAAACATTAGGATGGCTCGGGAGATCTAGGACTTCTAGAGACTCATACGCTGACAAACAAACTGTTCCTAGGAAGAATTCATGCTGATAATCAATGCTTTTCCTTCATTTATATCAATTTGATGTGTAAAATACTTTGAGAAATTGGATAAGAGGCACATAAATCGAAAAGACATCTTTATTTGCGCCTCCATGCTTTTCTGCTTAACCTACAATACTTACTTGGATTTTATTTGGAGGTTGTGCATGGGCTCACCTCTTTACCTTACAAAATAACAAATAAGTGCTTTATGACGTGCGATTCGATTGGAGGTGAGAGGATCATTGTTTTGGTTGATCATTGCTCAGGTTCTGGTGAAGGAGAGAGGAGGGTTTTACCTTTGCCGACTCCTACTGCCATAGCGATCGACAGTTTGAGTACCGCTAATGCCACCAAAGTAGAAGGCACTACGTTGGCCGAGGTCTCTAGTAGAGGCAACGAGCTCGTCATTGGCATTGGACACGTCGAGCTCTTCATCGTCGGAGTACTCGACGGTGTCAGTGTTTGGACCAGTGGCAGAGAAGTCATAGCCTTCGCTAGCTAGGGTCTGTCTATCGCGTAGCAAGCTTGCCGCAGCCTCACGACTCGCACTTAGACTGGCTCGCGTTCGCTCCACCTCCGCACTCAGGTCCGCATTGCGACGCTCTAGCTCAGCCACTCGCTGTGTGTACGTTTCCACGCTGTCCTGTAGCTCCCGGATCCGCCGCTTTAGATGACGGTTGTCCGTCGACGTTGCTGACTCGACCTTGTGCAGTTCCGACAACTCTTGCTACACAGTGCAACGCAGTAGGAGTGACTTCAAAATCAAACATCACAGGCCTCAAACCTATTTGGTGCATGTGAATTCTACAAATCATCATAGCAGTGTCTCAACGCGTTCCAGTAATCCATAATATATTCCAAACTATAATTTAGAAAGTGGTCCCAGTATTATAAGCCGTATGCACAACAAATAGTACAAAACAACATCGAATTGTAAACAATTCGAATGTTTCACTTGATTTACTGGTAGTATGATCACCGCACTAGGCATATGTGAAAGAAAGTGCCATAAGTACGTTCACTTACCTGAAGATTTTCGACCTTTTCTTTGTATACATCAAGATCAGCTTTGAGATCTGTCTCTCGTTTGTTCGCTGAGGTTTCGAGGTCACTTAGACGTTTTTCTAAGGCGCGCTTCTCTGCCTCCGCTTTGGTACTTGTCTCCATAAGGTGCAACTGAGCATCAAATAGCATATTTGAGTGAGATAAGAAGGGTTAGTGATTACTCTTTTTAACGAAAAAAAGTTCTGTAAAGCCCTGTTAGTTATCATAAATGCTTTAAAGGCACTGAAACGCTTTACCCATTTGTGGGTGAAAGTCCCTTACGCAAACTTTTTAGCATAAATACACCAAAACAATAGCCTTGCTTTTATGTCGGTGAAGTCTTTTTGGTAGGCAGCGCGCTCAAGTTTGAGGTCTTCGAGTTCGCGCTGTCGTGCTATCGAGGCCTCGCGTTCCGCACCCGCCTTGCCAGTCACCGAGGCGGCTTCACGCACCGCGGCGTCGCGCTCTCCTTCCAGCTGGGAGATGCGGTGCATCAGGCCCTGTCGCTCCTTTGTCAGGCTGCGCAAGCGCTGTTCGTTCTGCATGGCAACACCACATGTAATGACAATAAAATGGGTCGCATTAACCATGCACTCATTGTTTGTCAGAAACGGATGGGGCTCAACAAAACAACTCCTTTCCAGGATACTGTTGTAGTTCCACTTTCTACTAAACACATGACAAAAAGACCGAAAAGACAACATTCCGTTGTTTAGTCCATTTATAAAATGTGTGAGAAATACTAGACGGTGATGCCTACTGATAGGACATAAGTAAAACAGTGTACCTATTTTGTGCGTCAAGTTTGTTCACGCATAATGGCTGGCCTTTTTTAATAATGGTTATGGTTTTATTTAATCCATTCAGTAAAGAAAGTTGTATTTACTTTTAAGTACCTCAGACAAGTTTTATGAGTCCAAGCAGACATGTGGCTTGCACTGAACACTATAGTTTAACACGAAATATTGTTACTTCACCAAACAGTCGTCGCGATGTGAAAACTTTTGCATGCTTTATTGGCTCCACTTCCCATGAGTTCTAGCCATATATGCGCCGTTAGTCAGACCTTTGCTAAGTATCTGTAACGGCGAGGTCAACCCATCAAGCATTAATTTCATATGCTCAAAAAGGTCATTCAGACACCCCGTTCACTAATAAGTTGGTAATAAATTAGCATTGAGAATTTCATTTGGCTAAAAGTTATGGCACATAAGTAATCTCACGCACAACTTACGTCATCAAGAAGTTTGTTAGCGTTTTGCAATCGGACGTTAAGAATCTCCATATCAGAGCTTGTGTGACGTTGGCTGACTTCCAGCTGCGATATTTTCTCATCCTTTTCAACCAACTAAATAGTAGAGGGAGGTAACTAGATAATTCTCTCATTATCGACCATTAACGTAACCACTTATATGTGTAGGTCAGTTTACCTGCTCTTTCAGCTCTTCGGTGCTGTTCTCGCGTTTGTACTGTTCAAATTCCTCCCTTATTTGATCCAACTGCTTCTGATACTGACGACTTTCAGCAGCCAATCTGGCACGCGTGTCACGAAGCTCGTCACCGCCTTAAACACAAATTTGATGCAAATGTCAGTATTGGAGCCAATTTGTCTGAAAGAAGACAGACGCCGCCACCAACCACCATGCCAACTCGTACTAATTTTGCCCATTAAAGTTCATGAAGAAATTACATAAGGCAAAGTGTACCCCTGGATTTAGTGCGTCAAAGTATTCAAAAACCCGAAACCTTGGGTCGTACAAAAGTTGTTCATTGTCATGCACTCATGTGTAGCTAACAGTTCTTCCCATAATATTTGGAAAGAGGTTCGTACCGTTTTCGTTCCAATTCTGGTACTGATAAACCACCCATACTTCTTGCTAAAGCGCACACAGTGAATGATGAGAGTCTCCTGACAGAATTTTAATTGCCTTTAATTCCATCGATGACAAAACTTTAATCATGTACGTATAGATCCTACTAATTGCGATCTTGGATTAAAAGAAGGTGATAAGTGCTGACATTTCACCTGCAAGTAGAAGAGATCGAAAGTGATAGAAAATAGCGTATCAAATCACATCGCCTCCATCATAGCGAAGCACCTTATCACAGTTTGGTGCAGTTTTCTCCTGAGCTTGTGTACATAGTGATTTGTGAGGTGCATTAACGTACCGTTTTCGCTATCACTGAGATCAGGTTTTTGGCGGAGCTCCTCCACTTTGTTCTGCAAATCGAGACAACGCTTTTCGAGACCCTGTTTCTCTCGAGTCAGTTCTTCTACCACGTCGTCGAGCTCGCGCACCCGTCGAGTATGCGCCTGCTCGCGTTCCACCAACTCTTCCTCATGTTCGTCGCGTTGGCGCCGTACCTGACGCTGTAGGTTGGAGATCCTGTTGCGCATCTCCTGCGCCTCTAATTCTAGGTCTTCTCTGTATCCGATCTCATCGTCCAGCTTTTGCTGTAGCGCATGATATCTACTCTCCATCTCTTGTGTTCGACCCAGGTGGTAGTTCTCAATGTGTGACTGTGAATGGTAGATCGAGTTCATCGAGTGGTCGAGGGTGCCATCCAAGCCGAGGGAGCTGCTCCCCGGTCTATCGTTGGGAGAGAGGATATCATACTCACCGCCTTGACCTAATGGGGTATCCTTCAAGGTTTCATAGATCTCCGGGTTTTCCGTGAGAAAGCTGCGAATTCCTGCCAGTTTTTTCAAGGCGTTCATCCGTTCTCCTTGCTTCTGCAAGATAGGTTATGAGCTGCTCAGTAGGATACCGTAAATCTGGTTTTCGTGTAACATCACAGTGCAGCATGACTCACGTCATTAATCAGTTCTACGGAGGAGGGAAGCGGAGCGGCAGCGTAGGCATTGCTGACGGTGTTGGCAACGATAATGGGCTCGCCGGGAGTGCCAGGCTCGCTGGTGGAGGCGAGGCGACGTCGATCCAACTCGGCTTTCAGTCTATCTACCATACCGGTAAGGTTGTCCTCCGTCTCTCGCGCTTCTACCAATTGGCTGTTAGCCGCATCTAGCTCTCCGTTGAGGCGTTCCACGCGGAAGCTCTCCTGTGTCAGCATATTTTGCAGCTGTTCCACCCGTTCCGACAGCACACCAATCTACATTGAACCACATTTACATGATTATTCGCCATACTTTAGCTTTTAAAGATACTTTTTTAACTGCAAAACAATGCATCTAACGAGTGTTGATTTTACGGTTTTGGATGGTCAAAGCCAGTAACAGCGGCCCTTAATATGGAGCTACGTGAGATGTGGAAATTTCAGCTGACTGAATCAGCCAGGAACCAGGGAATATGATTGTGCACAGTATGCAATAATTTTTAGAATAGCTTTGTTCTTGTTTGTGTGATCTGCAGGCTAGGCGAGATGCTAAGGGTGCACCGATTTCTCACAGACTCCGTGTCTGGGATAATCAAAGTGGCGGGGTCGGGTCAAGGTGTGCGACACACCTGCAATGAGGACACCTTCTCGCCTTGTGCACCTGCGCAGAATCCCACAGGGTCAGTGAGAGTTGAAATGTTCACCGTAGTTAAGGTATCATTAATCTCACACTGAAGCTCCCACGCTGTGCTGAGAGTTATCCTACCCATCATAATAACACGGCTAGTGGAGCGAATTTATAGCAGGAGGTGAAACTTATGAAAGTGACACATGCGAGGTAAACTAACAGCAATTTAGTGGTTAGTAAAAGTGTAATTGAGAAAACGTAAAGCAGAAACCATAAAAATGCGGCAAGGTACACAATGCAACGCAATCAACTCTGCATTTATTCCGTAAGCACGTGCGTCCACAGCTTTTGAATCACCGTCGTCTTCGGTTTGTGACCACAACTTGGGGTCATTAGATCACGAGAAAGGCGGTTTTTGTGCGACATTTAAAGATCAACCGCCTGTAGCGCTGATGTTGAGAGGTGGTGCCAGCGTTTTCCAGAAATGCTGCGTTTTTGGCGTCATGAGCCACAAAAGGTATTTCCATGTTGGTTGAAAGATTGGTTCAGAAGTGCAATTAATGCACTTCAAATATTTATGAAAGATTTCTCATTTTTGCAGCCTTTATTTGGGCTTTCGTGAAGTTAATCCGTAAATCCCACTTGACAACCACATTTCACCTAGTGCTTCTTCAGGTCAATCCAATTCACTCTTCCTTCAAGTGGGGATTGATGGAGATGCGGTATTTTATTTCAAGGGAAGCGCTTTAACTTTGCAAATGGTATATGGAGGGAGATGATGGGAGGAACTCATCATTGTTTTAGACCTGGTACTTTTAAATGCCTAAGTTTAGGAAATACAGGAGGCTACCAGAGGCAGGCTTTTCAGCCTCTCCTACCTGCATTTAGCGCATCATTCAGACAGGAGGAAGAAATGAGAGGTTGGAGATTTACCTTCTCCTCGTAGTGTTGGCTGATGCGCGAGTTCTGTGCCTCCACATCCTCCCGTAGCAACTCCAACTGCTCGCGATAGAACTCCGCATTCTCCTTGGCCAGTTTGTACGATTTCTCTGTCATCGCGTCCATCGCGGTGTCAGCATCTTCAAGGTAGTCAAAGGAGTTCATGTATTCTTATAACGGAAAGTTATGTAACCGCTGAAAGCATCTACCAATATTCTCTTAGTTAAGGAAAGCCAAAATCACAGCCAATACTTCAGTCCAAATGGGGAACAAGCCTGCGAGTTTCGCCTCTATGAAGCGTGTTCCCTTGTAAGGGTAAAAATAAAAATCAGACCCCAGCCACAACCGTTGCTTTCACGGTTCTATATCGCATTCAGTTGTCTACTGTCAAAAGAAAGTGACGACCACATATCACGGAGGTACTTCACCAGAAAGTAAGGAGAATAAGGACGGGATGGGAGGGTACTTCGTTGTTCCCCGCCCTAAGGTGTAAATTATGCAAATCTTCTCATGGATCAGTATTTGGACAGG